TTGTTTATGCTTTCCTTCCTTTCAATCCTTTCGAGTCATCAAAACATCTAATGCAGTGGTAAAAAGTTTTATAGATATAAAGTCATCCTGTCATTGACTGCTTTGTACTTGGATCATTTTCGTGCTCTTATTGTGTTCTCGAACAATCATCAGACTTGTTAAATTAGTTATACAAAATTCTTAAAGATTGAAACAATTCCATATATGGCGAAGTATCTTACTTATACTTTCTCAAAAGTCTTGGTACACATACCTGTACATCCATCTTTTTTTCTTTGTAAGTGTGTCCACAGATAAAGTATTTAATTAATAGATAAATTAAAATGTTCGAATGAATACAAAAAAAATGTTATATCTATTTTCCTCTTTCATTTACAGTAAATCACGCAGTAAATTCTATTTTAATTAAGCATAGGTATCTAAACGAGTCCGGGCGTAACGAAGACAAATCGATACGTGTTGGGGCTCATTATGGCGGCGCGTTAAAATTCATAATGAGACTATAGAATATTCAATTAATTAATAACGCTATCGATACTTGTCTACTCTGTGTTTTCCGTATAGTTTTTTTTTTTTTTTTTTATCAAGCTCTTTCCCGCCAATATATGTTTTTTTTTACTATTAGGGAGGCAAACGATCAAATCCAACTGATGGGAAGTGAAGTTTAAAAATCTTCTTTTAAAGATCTAAAGGCACATTTTTAAATAGATAGATCTTTATTGTTTCCTCCGTAAGTTTACAATAGTAAACTTATTATAGATATAAACAATTATAAGAATTTTTAATCTTTTTTAATCTATCATATTCTTTATTCCAGCCATTCAATGATAACTTCATTGACCTTATGGCTGCAACAAGAAACAGCCCCAGACTACCTGCTTACTGATCTACTCAAAAATGAATGCTGCATCAGAAAGTATCGACTTTCTGATGCAGCATTCATTGTCACACACAAGTTGATACTCAAGAACTAATAAAATTTTGTATACATATCACAGTATTTATATCACAGGAACGGAAGAATCGGAAATCGCGCTTATGAAGCCGCGTAATTATATGAATATGAAAACTTTTTTTACAACCGACTTTATAAAGAAGGAGGTTCTTAAGTCAGTTTTATTTTTTTACGTTTGTTGCCTCATAACTCCGTTACTTCTACTTACTGATTGCTCCTATAAAAAAAAAATTATTAAAATAGGATCAATAGTTTGCTATTTAAAGTTTTAGGTCAAATTGACTGGTTTTGACACAACTGAAGTTGTTTTTTTATGAGTTCACACACAATCTGTAATTATCAGTACTGACATAAGTAATAGGCAATGCGAGTACCTACTTGCGTGACGTGCATCTAATATCTATAATTCCAATACAATAAATCGATATCAATCTATAAAATACCTAATTGTTTATAATCATAAGCAATTTATTTGAATAACACCAAAAACCAACGCTGCTATTTGATACGGAATACGGTTAGAAACCCATTTTCCCATGCCACAGTTGAACAAGATTTAAATCTCAAAAGATCGTATAAAAATATTCGTTGCCAATAAACAATCGTGCTACTCTCAAACCAATTCAAACTTTATGTTAACTTAATTGAAAAATTTAAATAGCAACAGTTAAACAACTCAATTCACGCATTAAGGTGCGGTTTAATTAATGCGATTGAAAATTGCTATGTTAATGTCATATAGCGGTTACCGCGCTAACTAGGGCTCATAACGATGCAATTTCAGTGATATATTGATGACTTGTCGTTTTATATGAGCTACAAATAATTACGTCTGTCGTAACGTAATAGGTAAATACGGCGTATCCAATTTGTGATTTATCCATAATACAGATACGTATCTACATAAAGCCAGAATAGTTAAGATATTTATAATTAATATAATCCAATAAAAACATTATTAAAATTATGCAGTTATAGATGTTCATAAAGTGAAAATATTGGAAAAGAAATTGTCGCCCATTACACCCCTCAAGTATTGCCAATCCTTGGTTTAAAAACTTCAAAAAGCACTATTTAGTATCACAATCATTACAGTTGATTCATATGGTCTCTTCTCTACTAATTGACTTGCATATTGACAAATTACCTAGTCAGGGGAAGGGACTGTTATTAATGGGGAAGTTAGTCCTCGTTGTCATCAATATCCCACCCCTATCAGGTCGACCTCTACGCGGTTCATCCTGAAAATCATCGTGACTAACTTACCTTTAAATTCAACACGATGGGCTAACGGACCTGCCTTTTCATCCTTACCAATTAACCCTCACTGATGTCCCACCAGTGTATAATTGTATGTCAATAGCGCAAGCGGGGTGACCATTCCATTATCATCCATAAAAAAAATTAATCAGTCGTCTTCATATAAAGACCGATCGACTACCAAACGCGGCCTAAATTGGATTGTCCAAGATCGAATATTAAAAATAATATCTGAAACCAAATAATCGAGTCGTATTAATGAAACTACAGGTTAACTAGACACAAAAATAAATACATAACAAAAATATAGCTAACGATAATTAGACACGCGAACAGGCAATAAAGCAAATTCTAATCTGTTTGTAAACGACTATAAAAAAATATAAAAAAAAGTAACCAAACGGACTTGCTTCCGTGGAGATAAGGCGACGAGATTTTATCTAAATAGCGTGAGATGTTTCCCTTTTCACGTATAAATAAATCGACTACCTACTCCTAAATCCGTATTAATTATTGGCTGGTGATTTCATTAACAGTTCTAATTAAAATCATTCATTCCATTCATTCATCTTCTAGTTACATTTAAGATTTACTTTGACGTTAATAACATTAAAATAGTTTTGTAGCACGATAACGACGCGTTAAGATACAAAGATATGTCTTTTTTTTAATGAGTGATAATGAAATGGTGTCTGTGTCCGTTGACAGGGACGATAGGTAAGGATGAAACCAAGTGGTCTACCATGAAATGAAATTCCGATTTTTCGGACTCAATTTCGTGTTTTTGTTCATAGATACCATTAAAGTGTAATATTGTAACATTTTTAAACGGCAAAACGTTATGTTTTATATAATTTTAACATCGATTTTGTGTTTCGTTTAATACCGAAATTTCGGAAAATATTTCATTTTAGGCTCTGAGATCAGTTGACCCATTTTATATAGATTTATATAGATATATTAAATAAAATATTATATTTGTAATTGTTATAATGTTTAAAATTAATTGCAAAGTTTATAAGATAAAAATACAAAATATAATATTGTTATAAATATATAATATAAATATATATTCCTTTTTAAAAGGCCGGCAGCACACCTGCAATGCCTTTGGTGTTGTGGGTGACCATGGGCGGCGATAGTCACTTACCATCAGGTGAGCCGCATGCTCGTTTGCCCCCTGTGTTGTAAAAAAAAAAAGAAAAAAAATTAAAATAAATTGATGAGCATTACTTTTATTTAAACTACAAAATGTTATATATGCTTATTATATATATGCTGCAAGAAAAAAAATAATTTTTACTTACTTATTTTATATCTATATATTTGGCAGTAAGCAGAATATATGACATTTCAGACAAACTTCTGTGGTTTTTGATGTGCTTGTTTGTTATTTAGGTTTTTATTATATAAATAAATAAATAAAATTGTTATCCCTGTTGCCCTTTCTGTTACACTTTGTATAATACAAAGCTAGACGAAGGCCAATAAATAAATGTAAAGAATCCTTTTAAAATTAATCATCATATTTGTCCCTTTGACTAAATATTTTAAATACCATAGGACACCATAAATTTTGTCGGTAGCCTTTCTTGTTTGACATGAGAAAATAAAGTGTAATTCTCTTCAGTGATTACTCGAATACTACTCGTGTATAGATCGTTAAACCTAATGCTATCTCAGGATGAAATAATTTTCTCACTAATCCTAAAAATATATCGACCATAAATAATCACTCATATTGCCGTCTGTCCAAACCCTTTAATAGTGATGTCAAATTGTTATCGATATACTTACACCTAATTTAATATTGATCTAAAACTTACACGTATCAATTATCGTAATCATTATGAAACTAATAATATTTTATGAGATATTTTTATGTCACAAAATGTTTTTTCTATTTTTACAACGGTAAGGGTTACCATTGCCTGTTGGTATACAAACAAATAATTGAAAATTAAATATAATTAATTATTTAATAAATAAAAATAACTTTAAAAATGTAACTTATTTACTCTTTATTACACCACACATTTTTGGCAATTTCATATATCATAAAACAAAATAAACTCGTGTTTTATTTCATAAGTAAATTAGGAAAGGAAAACTATAAATGTTAACATAAAAAAAAAGAATTACTTTTTATTACGTATATCTAGATTTAGCAAAAACAACATAGACAAACATTAATTTTTTTATCCAAAAAACAATATTTAAAATTGAAGTTTGCGAAAATTTATCGACAACTCAAGTCACATCACTAAAGCTTAAAATCGGTAACATCTACAGATGGGCAAAGCACCGGGTTTAAACCCGGTGCTTTGGTAAAAACCCAATAAACACCCATAAACTCCCATAATCACCCAAAAAAATAGGTTTTTACGTATTTTTTTGAAAATATGTAAGTAATACCAATAAATTATTTTTATAAATTGTATTGATCAATTCTACAATATTAAATAAAACGTTAACTAATAATATTTCAGGAAATTTTAAAAATCTATATATAATAAAATGAAAGTAATTAATTTTCAGTGTTTTCATGTTGCAGTTGATCAACATGTTGGCCTTTTGCTTCCCGTAGATACTTTAAAATTTCTTCATAACACCTCGTTCGCACACATGGCCGTATATATTTAAATTCTTGAGCCACTAACAGTCCGAAATACTCATTTCTTTTATCCTCTTCTCCATAAATTAAGCATTTAGAACAGTTTGTTTCTTCTTTCAGTAAATTTTCTTTTACTTTATCCTCGTTTTTTTCTTTGTTGCGACGACGCTGGGTAAATCATCTGGACACTGGGTCTCACTATCGCCAAATATATTTGGAGATCGGCTTCGGCTACGGCTTGGCAGACATTTTTTTCTTTCTACAATTTTAAATTAAATTTATTAGAATAAATGCTTCGAACACACGCGATCTAAGTACCTTTTGTGTTTATTATACCTTACCTACCTAGGTATAAAAAGAGTACTTACGTAGATTTTCTTTTATTAACTGTTTTATACGAAGATCTTGATCTCTCAAATTAGCATCCATTTTACTTCCAGTGATTATCAACTAAATTAATAATCCACAAAGTATTAAATAACGTTTTTATGAAATATTTAGCACAAAAACAATACCCTTTAAATATCGATCGTCAGTAACTGTGGCTGACTTACCTATATTCTAGCAAGCAGGACTGCCAGATGTGAAGGGGAAATCCCCAATAAATTGTTGCATGTGACTGATGATGTGAGCATGTTCGTTTCATAATAAAAATGTTGCCAGGTAACCAAAAAGTCGTATGTTTTTGTGCGAATTACGATCATAATCTTTACGATCGTACATTAAAAAATAGACAAATAATAGTATGAGTACGATTTAAATCGTATATCTGTCAACCCTGCTAGCAAGACAGCGACAAAATCACGTTGCATAACAATGTAGCCCAAGCTTATATCTTATGAAATATACGGAAGAGATACGGACTTAGAAAAAACAGAAATGTTGTTCTTTGTGGAAGTCATTGATGAAATTCTATGTATTTTAGCCCGCAAACTTTCTTCAAACAAAAACAGCGCCATCTAGTATCGAGTTCTGTAATTATCTCTTTGTTTATGGATTTGAAGTAAGACCGCCACGCATGCAATACATTATGACTGGGGATTCCCCTATTCGTCGACGCTGAATATGAGGCGACGACAATCACTGTCAAACGTGTTCACTATTACTCTGACTCTGGTAACGTGACTTCCTGGTAACGTGTTAGGTAGGAAAAGCAGTAAAAAAGTGCATATTAAGGGAGCAGATTTGAAATAATATTTATACTTAACAAGAAATAATTAAAGGTAAGTGGATTTTTGAATGATACAATTATATCATGATCACTTAACAATTTTAACTTAAAATTAGATGTATTATTACAAGCTTTTATTTAGCTTGCGTTATGTAAATAAAAGTATGTAGGTATGTTCGTATGTTGATGCAATTATCCTCAATCCTCAACCGACTGGGATAAAATTTTCCATACACGTTTATTTTGGATGATAGTGCATAGTTAGCTGAGAGTCGTCATTGGATAATAATGGTGGATAGCCTAAGATGTGTACTAGATATTTATTTTTAACATAATATGCGTAAGTACCTAATCGAATTAAAGAAGTTGCTGAGAAAAATACAGAACAATACGATAATAAACTAGCGTCTGCGTTTAATCCTCCGAGGAGATGTAATTTTACAAAGGTTTTTTGTATTTATTTTATTATTTTTTTAATAAATTTATTGTAAATAACAAGAAATAATCATTGTAAAAAAATAGGCACTCTATTGTTGAATTTTCGTCAGACCAACTAATCATCGTTCATTTTTTTAGGTTCAATGGGGAGACCTAAAGATTTACGCATATGGGAGCACTACCGTACTTTACCAAACAAGTCTGTTTCTTGCAAGCTTTGTAATAAGGTCTACAAATTCAGTAATGCTGCCAAAATGCTTCAACATCTTATCACTTGTCCAAAATCTCCAGAAACATTAAAAGACTCTATGAAACTTATAAAAGATAGCTCGTCCAAAACCAAAATGTCTGGACTGTCAGAGATAGAGACAAATGATTCTTTTATAAGCCCCTCGTCGTCTGCTAACACTACAATAAATGCTGAGTTTCAAGACACCGATGATCATATAAAAACAGAATTAGCGAGAGCTATATTTGTAACAGGGACGCCATTATCGATGGTGCAACATCCTTTATGGATACAATTTTTCGAAAAATTGCAACCAAAATTTAAAATACCTTCACGTAAAGCTTTAGCGACAAAATACTTAGATAAAATATATAGAGAAATGCGTTTTGAGTTAAATGAGGAACTAAATGCTTGTAGTTACTTACACCTTCAGTGCGATGGCTGGTCTAATTTAAGAAATGAAGGAATAATAAACTTTCTTATATCAAAACCTCAACCTGCATACGTTAAAAGTTTGAATACAGAAAGTAATCCTCACACTAGTGAATACCTTAGCCAAGAAGTTGAAAAAGTAATGAAAGTGTATGGAGCAAATAAGTTTCTTGTACTTATTGGCGATAACGCTAGAAATATACAAAAGGCATTCGAATTAACAAAACTCAAATATCCACATGTTGTTCCTCTCGGTTGCTGTGCACATATCCTTAACTTGTTGTGCCAAGATATTGTAAAGATACAAGAAGTAACTGTGTTTATTATGCAAGCCATAAATATAATAAAAACTGTTAAAAGGAGTCAACGATTAAGTTCCTTGTTGATAAAATCAAGGCAGGGTGAAGATTCTACACAAACACTAAAATTGCCTTGTGCTACAAGATGGGGAAGTCATGTTACTTCGTTAAAAAGTTTGAAAGCAAATAAGATAGCTTTGCAAATATTAACAGTTAGAGAAGATGTGGTAATTTCAAGAGATATTAAAGATTTAATTCTAAGTGATGATTTCTGGACGAAGACAGGGGAATGTATAAGTATTTTGGAACCAGTCACTGAAAGCATATTTTACTTAGAGAGCGACCAGAATCGTTTGCATCGCACATACATTACATTTAGAGATGTACAAGCTAAGATACGTTTTGCATTAAATGAGATTTCGACATTGAGCGAAGAAAGCAAACAGCAGATTCTAACATCAGTATCTTCAAGATGCAATATGGCAATGAGGCCAATACATTTTGCAGCATATATTCTAGACCCCAGGACTCTAGGAGTCGAACTTACTCAAGAGGAAGAACTTAAGGGTATGGAGTTTATCTACAATTTAAGCCAACACTTAAGTTTGTCAAATGTAATGGCAGATTTGGCGTGTTATAAAGCTAAAGAAAACTTTTGGGCCAGAGGATTTGTATGGAGCTCATTAGATAGCATTGAGCCCCTAATATGGTGGAAAGGTATTTGTGGTTCCACTGAGTTAAGCAAAGTAGCGATTCGTATTCTATCAGCTCCCTGTACTTCGGCAGCCACTGAGCGTTCCTTTAGTATCCAAGGCTACATACATAATAACAAAAGAAATCGACTTACAACTGAAAGAACTGAAAAAATTTCATTCATTTGTTATAACTGGAATCTTAAACATAAAGCTGAATGCGAGGACATTCAGTTTAATGAAGAAAATACCTTAGAAGCTTTCATTGAGCAAGTAAATGAACATAACAGTTTAGACGAAATAGAGCCTATCGAACCTATACAATTCATCGCTTGTAATAACTCTGAATCTGACAGTGATTGACTGTAGTTTTACATTTTACTTTCATCTCTTTCTTAATAAACTCAAAATCAAATTAAAAGTTTTTTATTCTGTAGGCTGCATAATAATATTGTCTATGTCCAGTATAGTGGACGTCTTGCGGCTGAGATGACGATGATGAAGTACAAAATCATAAACACCCAAAAATTTGGGTGTTTATGGGGTTTAAACCCAATAAACCCAAAACACCCGGTTTTTACCCACCAGACTTTAAACCCACCCAGGTGGATTGCCCATCTCTAGTAACATCCGATTGGTTATAGAGACATCTGTGTAGATTAAAATATATATCGGTTAATAATATTAGTTGTTATTAAAATATTCGTTTTATTGTCGCCGATCCGATGCCGTCGCTTTCACGACCTAAAAGTCATCGTTAAACTGTTTTTATGTCGGATATTTTTCCTGATTTCTTTACTTACGGCCTTTTGTAATCCTTTTTAATAACGTCAAGAATTTATATTTGTACAAATTAAACAGATTATGATGTACCTACCTACCTTATATAAATGATAATTTAATATTTAGTTATTTTATTCGATGAATTCGGTCATAAATTTTAATTAAAGAGAAAAAAATGTCTCATATGGTGTAACATTTATTTCTAAAGCGCAGAATATCTAACAGAGTAATGTCTGCCTAGAATTATTTTATACAGAGAAAATAATTTCAATTAAAATGACAATTACCTACAATAAATATATTTAAAAGACAGTAGTATCTACTTTTTTAATCTTATAAAAGTAACGATTTTTGCAAACTTATACAAACATTTTTTTATTATTTAACCATAGACATAATATCTATATATACAAGTAAGGTTCTTAAGTGGCGACCCCGTATAGGCAAACGCAGTGTCGGACGACCCCCCATTAAATGGAGCGACGACCTCAAAAGCATTGCAGGGAGTCACTGGATGCACGTGGCTCAGAACCGTTCCTTATGGCAGTCTATGGGGGAGGCCTATGTCGAGCAGTGGAAGGATAATAGCTGAGATGATGATGATGATGATGATGATGATGATAACAATGATATACTCACACTTTATTTCAGATAGTTGATTTTACCCTACACGTAATACTTAATAGAAGCTTTTCTATAAACCAGGACTTCAAAAGAAACTTTCACAATAATCAGAAAATAATAATAGGTAGATAACAAAGAGAAACGTTTCGTATCTATTTATAAACAGGGCCAAACATGTCCTATTCTATTCTATGGACGGTTAATTGAGCTATATAATTTGACACCTCACGGCGTAGTGAATAGCCAATTATTAATATAGGCCCTTGATTAATTGTGATATCAGCATTTAATTTTCGTGTTAACACTCTCGCCTCGCACTGCGCCGCCATTGTGCGCCGCGCGCCTTTGTGTGCCGTGACGTTTCAATTTTGAATAAATTAAATTTCGAACGCTTCATTTTTTCCAAACCTTTTGGCTTTACAGAGAAAGGAATGAGCTTGCGGCCAGTGTGATAATTTATTGTCGTAATAACTAAGAATAGATTTAGCTTGTTTATATTATACACTGTGATAGAGAATAGATACGTCGCTATGAATAGAATACCAACATTGTTTATATTAATGTACCGGCATTCAATGCTCAAGTTAAACAATTGTTAATAATTAAGTCGGTATAAAGAAATCGCCGTTTAATCAATCATATCGTACAGTTTTATATTTATACGCCTACCAGGGTTAATGCCTACACTATCATTTCTAAGTAAGTATATAAGATTGAACTAGATCAATCTATCAATATCAATGTAGGTATATAGGTGATGGCACATTTTTAATAAGTATTGTTGATGCAATATTTTGTAAAGATGTAAAATATTCTAAAGTAAATCCGATGAGATTACTTTTGGTTATTATCCTGAATTTATAACTCTATAAGATCCTTCCTACTCCTAGGCTTATAAATTCATTAATTTCTTAATTCATTAGTTCTGGAAAATTAAATAATAAAATAAGAGACGTAGATAATAAAATAAGAAATTTTGTACTCTACTATAAGGAATATAAAACAATTGTTTACTAACATTACTTTTCAATTAGGTATATTATTTTGATGTTTAAGTAAAATTAATGAAAAATCTATTACGTTTCTATATTTACGTATACCTAATTAAAATAATCTCTATTGTCCTTAAATTATATGATAGAGTATCTGTAGATATGATTGTATTAAATATGTATATCTAAGTATGACAAAGATAGATTGTGTGAAAAAATAGTTCCAAAATCAAATTTAAAAAAAACTGACCCAATCTGAGAAAACTTCTATCCAGTTACTTGCAACACGAAAGAAAAGCGCGATTCGTTTTGATTTAAAAGAATTTAGTCAGCCAGACGTCAATCAGCTAACCAAAATTTCATACGTTTTTAATACTCGTTTTATACAACCTAAACTATTATCTATTAATTTTTAGTATTATTAAAACACATAATGTGTTACAAAGTTAATTTTAAGTTTTAAAAATAAATCTACTTATTTAATCACTAACTACTACAATATGATTACTAGGCGTGTAAAATAAACGGCGCTTATCCACTTACTACAGTTTAGCCAAACCAATTCCAAAATCAAATACGTTTACGGCAGCAATTTATAAAATCGCTACCGCGATCCATATTTAAAAATTCAAAACTCGCGTTCGAATCAATGACTTAATCCAAATTTTATTACGGCGCTGTTAAGTTATTAATTTATGTGGCCAATCGAGTTAACTAATTCACATTTTTTTTAATAATATACCTGTTACTTAACTAAATAACTTTATCATAATATTAAAGACTCTTATTTACGTTACAATGTACTTATTGTCTGTGTGATGTCCTTAGTAATCATAACTAAGTATATTGGTAATTATCTAAATAAGATCGTAGTCTAAATAGTAATAAAACCTCATAAAATAATATATTGTACATACTTCTACAATAAAGACCTCAAACCTTGGTCTTCATAGATTTTCTAACACCCCAAAAACATGGCAAAAAAAATTGTTTTTATACAACTTAGAACGGCAAAAAAGCTGACGGCCCTCCTGATGGAAAATGGTAACCGTCGCCTATAGACATGAGTAGTACCATGGACATAACAGAGTATACTATTTTACCCATGATACCCCCCATGTAAATTCACTGCCATATCCCATCCTTCAAACTGAAACACATTTGGGCAAACACAACTGCTTCACGGTTGAAACATGAATAGGGCAGAGGTACCGAAGCAAACGACTTTTGTACAAAGTCTCCCTCTGGTATATAAAATATTTTCATTTGCAGCGTAGGTTCACAAGACAGAATAAAACGCTAGGCATTGCTATCGCGTTCTATCTTAAATCAACATACAATAGCGAAAACGTATCAACTGGTTGATTTCTTAGTTATTTGCATCATTAATTATCATCATCATCATCTTCACATCAGCCGATAACTGTCCACTGCTCTAAGTATTATACATCCCTTCCTCTATATCTCTCCTATAAACTGCCATAAGAAAAGGTCCCGAGCTACCTGCATCCACGGACTCCCTGCAATACATTTAAAGTCGTCGCTGCATCTAGTGAGGACCATACTACACTGCGATAGCCTGTATGAAATTTAAAAAAGACAAGAAATTAATTTATATAGAATACACCAACAATATGTTTACAATAATTAAAGAGAATAGGTACAATGCTATAAGTAAGCTTAAGGCTAGATGAGCATATCAATTAAAGGCGTATACAGCTCTTACACATAAGTGTTAATTTATACTAAGCTAACAATCATACAATTATAAAAGATTTAATCAATACATATTATAAAATCGTAACTGGTCGCTGTCTGTACATGGAAGATATATAAGAAAAAATATTATAGGGGGGTTTTATGAACAAAATAGAACCCAAAACAATGTACGTTTGTGCACACTAATCTCAGAAACGGCTTAACCGATTTGAATGCAGTTTTCAATAATGTATTGCGGTAAGCTCGGCTTAACATTTAGTGTTTGTTTTATTTCAATCGGTTCATAAATAAAAAAATTATATTAATTTAAAGAATCACAAATAAAATGCTATAAAAATAACCGATCAATAAATTTGTTGAAACTTTATAAAGGTATTAGGTACGTAATTATCATTTAAGTATGAAATACAATATAAGACCGAATTTATGAAGAGTCCCAATGGGAATGATATACGGGAACTATATAATTAAAGCCAGGTAACGCCGCGGGAAACGGCTAGTTACGAGTATTAATATATACTATTAATAAGCTTAATAAATTGCATTAAGGAATTTCCAGATTTATTCCAAAGAGATAAGAAACAAACTCGCTTTCACAAACTCACTAGTAAGGTAAGGATTAATTCCATTAATATCAAAATATTGTACTATGAACCTTCATCATCACTAGACTAGACATCAAGAATGTCGCGTACACTAGTTAAATCCGCTTATCTAATGCATTTTTAATCACTTGACGCCCTGCGCCGGCGCACCTCACGCAGTCTAATTACACCACCGTTCGCCACCTGCCCGCCATGATTGAGTCATTCCCACCTCTACCCATCGTTCTAGTAACTAATGACTGTTTTTAATATAAAACTTCGCCATATGTGATAAAGGTTTCATTTTGATAAATTTATGTTTTGATATATTACTCAACGCCATCTAGTATCAAACTAAGCAGTGCTTGTATTACAGGTGCACGTTTTTTCTTTGTAAATACATTCATATTATAGAATAGAATAGAATAGAATAGAATAGAATAGAATAGAATAGAATAGAATAGAATAGAATAGAATAGAATAGAATAGAATAGAATAGAATAGAATAGAATAGAATAGAATAGAATAGAATAGAATAGAATAGAACAGAACAGAATAGAACAGAATAGAATAGAATAGAATAGAACAGAACAGAAGAATAGAATAGAACAACAAATAGAATAGAATAGAACAGAACAGAACAGAATAGAACAGAACAGAATAGAACAGAATAGAACAGAACAGAATAGAACAGAACAGAACAGAACAGAACAGAATAGAACAGAACAAAACATAAATAGAATAGAACAGAACAGAATAGAACAGAACAGAATAGAACAGAATAGAATAGAACAGAACAGAATAGAACAGAGAATAGAAGAGAACAGAACAGAACAGCATAGAATAGAATAGAACAGAACAGAATAGAACAGAACAGAACAGCATAGAATAGAATAGAACAGAACAGAATGGAACAGAA